GTTCAACTTGTTGTTCATTATAGAAATGCTATAGATTTTTGGATATTGATTTTGTATCCTGCCACTTTACTGTATTCATTTATTACTTCAAGAAGTTTTTTCATGGAGACCTTTGGGTCTTCTAAGTATACCATCATGTCATCTGCGAATAAAGATATTTTCAACTCTTCTTTGCCTATTTGAATGCCTTTTATATTGTTCTCTTCTCTGATTGCATTAGCTAAGACTTCCAGTACTATATTAAAGAGCAGTGGAGAAAGTGGGCAGCCTTGCCTAGTACCTGTTTTTAGCGGAAAAGCTTTCAGCTTTTCCCCATTTAGTATAATGTTAGCTGTAGGTTTTTCATAGATGGCTTTTATTGTGTTGAGAAATGACCCTTCTATACCAATCTTACTGAGCGTCTTAATCAGAAAAGGATGTTGTATTTTATCAAATGCTTTCTCCGCATCAATTGAAATGATCATAATGTTTTTATCTTCCTTTCTGTTAATGTGGTGTATTACATTTATGGTCTTGCGTATGTTGAACCACCCTTGCATCTCTGGGATAAAGGCTACCTGGTCGTGATGAATAATCTTTGTTATATGTTGTTGGATACGATTTGTGAGTATCTTGTTGAGAATTTTTGCATCTGTATTCATCAATGATATTGGTCTGTAGTTTTCCTTTTTTGTCATGTCCTTATCTGTTTTGGAGTTAAATTACCATTTTTTTCTAAAACTAGGCAATTAAAGCTCCAAAGGGTTCCATGATGTGCCTAGTCACAGATGGGAACAGGCACAGAGCTAGGATAGGAGTTGGGTCTGCCCAACTGATCCCCCATAGCCCTGATCCCCCCCAGTGCACCACAGAGCCTCATCCGGGGGAGCGAGAGGCCAATAGAGGGTGCAGTCAGGTCCAGAACCCCTAAAGTAGTGTTTCTCTGACCTTCAAGGTCAGAACCATCTGAGCACATGAACCTGCCTTCTCGGCAAGTACCTGAAGTGGTTCCAACACATGGCCCATAGCTTGAGAATGACTGCTCTAGTGGCAGCCCCCACTGTCAAAGGGCATTCCGCTGCAAGGGCCCCCTCTGAACTGCTCCTGTTGCTCTCACTGCCAGTTTGCCCTGTTTCCTAAGGCTCAGCCCAAGCCACCCCTACTCCCTGTAGTCCTCCTCTGAACTCCTGCTTGCCTGTTATGTGTGGATGACAAGGTCCTCCCTCTTACACTGTGTCCCTGTCCTTTGCTCACCTGAAGAGAAGAGACCACACATGGCACTTCAGAGATGCCTGCAGGCTGAGCTCAGCCCTGACCTCAGTGGGTACTGCATAGACCTGGCAGCCTAGAGCTTGGGCCCAGCTACCTCACTTCCGGCAAGCACCAACACTATCAAGGGCCCTTACCTGGGAGGCCTATGTCTCCTTTGTCTCCTTTAGTTCCAGCTTCCCCTTTGGGGCCAATGAGCCCCCCAGCACCTTTGCTGCCCTTCTCTCCTTGGGGTCCGGGGGCACCTGCAAAGAGAATGGCCTGTGAGGTGAACTTCCATGGTCCTCCTGGGGACAGGCTCCTAGGTAAAGGTGCAGAGAGAATTTGGGGGAGAAGAAAAGTGTGGGGCATGCACTGTCTTTTGAATCATCTCAATGAGGTATAAGACTCAAGAGAGGACCATGGTGAGGGCATCGGCCCCTTTAGATTGGGGCGGGACCATGAAGAGAAGATGGGGGATGAATGCAGCATCAATCAGGAGCAGAGGAAGCTCAATTACCAGTAGCTCCTTGGTTCCCTGGAGCACCCTTGGTTCCTTGGAGGCCTGTGAAGAAAAGGCTCAGTCACCGTGGGACCCCTGCGCTGGGCACATCTCTCTGCTCCCCAGTGCGCACGTGTTCACCCACATATACATATGAATTTGAATGCACCCATGCAGACGTCAGAGTCCCTGGAGTTTTCAGGCAGTGTTTGTCATTCCTAAGGGGTGGAACAGTGCTGGAAATGTGCCCAAGCAGTGGAGGAAGAGAAGCTTTAGAGTGAGGTGGAGGTGAGTCTGTTCCAATTATAGCCTGCAGGGAAGGGGCAACTCCAGGCTCCATTTCTTCTTGAAGGACGTGACCAAGCTCTTGAGCTCTGGCTTGTCCTGCCACGTAGGTCTCAGTGGCTCCAGGTTGGTGAGTTCCAGGAGCCAGCCCTTTCTCTCTGGGAGGAAAAAGGAGGGTGGGAGATCCTCTCCCCTCTGCATCAGCCTGCCCTGCTCTGAGCACCCACAGGCTGAGTATGAGTGCGCATGAGGGCATGAGTGGTGCATGTAAATACATATGAGCATATGTTTGTATGAGTGCATGTATGTATGCAGTGTGATTGTGCTCGCATGTATGAAAGTGTAAGTGCCTAGGTGTGTACACAAACTTGAGTGTTTAAGTGGATGTGTGATTATGTGGGTAGGCAAGCGTGTGTAGTATGCGAGTGTGGGAATATGAGTATGTTCCTAGACATACATTTGCATGTTAGTGTGTGAGTGTGTGAGTGAGAACATGTGATGTGTGAGTGATATGCATGTTGTGCATGCATACACATGTGTGTCCCTTACTGCACCAAAAACTGTCCTTCCTATTGTTTCCTGTCTTTAAACCTCCCGGGAGAAACCCCTGCTGGAGACTTAGAACAATAGGCTCTTTGGGATCCCTCCTATTAAATTCCTTCTAAAAATCAGTTTCTGGGAGAAGATTTTTTTTCCCTCCTAACAAGTTTAGTTTCTGAAACTGGTGTTTTCTTTCTGCCTCAGTAGCCTGGAGGCTTAGAGACTTTGGTTTGTTTACTCCCTTCTTCCTTGCAAATCCTCTCATTCTGCTCTTTCTCTAGTAAAGGTCTTATTGTCTTTGCATTTTTACATCTCAGCAGCTTCAACTCCTTTGGGAATTTGGAATCTGAAGGTCTAAGTGGAGGGTGGACTGGAGCAGGATGGAGGGGAGAGGAGTGGACTGTAACAGCTGATTGGCTTGAGGTTTAGATTTGTCTCCCCACTCAACCCTGCGAAAAGGCAGCTCTGGGTCCCCACATTCTTTGACTAAGCCAGTCCCTGGCCATTCACAAGAAGGCTGGGCAGATTTGGGCTACAGCTTAAAAAGTGACAAGTAAGACCCCTCCATTGTGGCATGCACTGGGTGCTGCTACTCAGCAATTGAGGCCACGTGGAAGGCCTGGGATTGACTCTTGGCCTACTCTCAAAGCCGAGTTTGGTGGTGTGACCTGTGATTCCAGCTACTTAGGAGACTGAGGCAGCAGGATTGAGACACAGCAAGACTTTGTTTAAAAACAAACAAACAAACACACACACATGAAAACTAAAACTTTCCTGGTAACAATTTGGGGCTTTAATTATTGTATCTAATCCCCATGCGCACACCCCCTCACACCAAATAGCCCTCAGGAGCACTCTCGTCCCCATTTTACAAAGAAACTGAGGCTTAGAAAAGAAGGGGAATGGTCCCCAGGTCATAGAGCTAGTCCGTAATGGAGGCAGATGTGTCAGACTGCAGAGTCTCTGCTGGGCCCAGAAGCCTGACTTTGCAAACAATACTCATAGGCAACTCCCCAGCACAGAGGAAGTGACAGGAGCATCTGCCCTCTCTAGCCCCATCCAGGCTGAGAAGCCAACTGATCAATCTGGTCCTGACGGCTGCTGACAGGCTGTGCTGTGAGGCACTTCCTAACCTCCTAGAACATCCAGGGTCTCATGTGAGTCAGCCTCCCTCACGGCCCCTCCAGGTGCTTAGTGGGTTCAAGTCTGCAACCAATGCAGTCACCTAGAAAACCTGTTGCATCTGCCTGCAAACACACCCAGTCCCTACTCACCCATTTCTCCCTTGGTTCCTGGAGGGCCTTGGGGTCCTGGGAGGCCTGGAAGGAAAAGAAATTTCAGAGCAAAGCCTGGACAAAGAGAAAGGAAGATTATGGGGCCAGGAGACAGGCCAGTATCTGTGGCTCCACCCTGTCCCATGTTCCCCTTGGCACCCTTCTCTGTAGGCAGTCCTGGCAGGCCAGGTACACCAGGCCTTCCTGGGGCTCCCCTTTGACCTGAAAGATGTGAGGGAAAAGAGCAGAGACACCAATGAGTCAACTAGCAAAACGGAGTAACAATGCCACTCATTGACATGACTACTCACTCAGTGAGCTTTCACTGCACCAAGGATGAGCCAAACTGTGTGGAAAGAAAAAAACAACACACAACTTCTTCCTGAAAGGAGCTCACAGCCTAGAAAGCATAAAAGCAATTGTAAAAGATGTCTTCTGGGAGAGGCTGAGCAGGCAGACCTGGGTTCAAGTATTAGCTCTGCCCCTTTAGCTTGGTGACCTTGTGCAAGGACCTCATTATTTTGCACCTCAGCTTCCTCATCAGTAATATACCAGTTTCACAGGGCTGTTCTGAGCTCACCACATGGAGACCTAGCATGGAAAACACAAGAAGCAAACTCTAGGTAAAAGGGACCTACTATTTCTGCAATTCATGGGGCTTTCTACTGATTCCAAGGACCACTCTGTGGGCACAGACTCACCGAGACTCACAGAAACCACAGCTGCAGAATAGGGCTTCTGTTCCCATACTCCCCAGATTATGAAGAAGGGAGTGACACTCTGAGAAAGCCAAGCCTCATTGAGGTCACACATTTAGAGAGGCCAGCAGATTCCAGGTCACCGCATGACAAAGCCTACACCCTTGCCAGGGCTCCACGGTAGCAAAGCCCAGCCCAGGCTGCCTAGTTTAGAGCAGGAGCCCAGTCCAACCTGTAGAATCCATAATATTACATCATTTTACACCTATGAGACTGGGGGCTGAAAGGATGGAAGTAGAAACTCTCACTTCAGTACGGGGGCTCTCTTGGATGTGTCTCAGGAGGGAATAGGTTTGGGGTTTGACAACCAGCTCCCAGGTTTAGCTATGTGACTTGACTAAGGGTCTGTACTTGGCCTAATTTCAGTTTCCTCATCTGTATATTGGGAATAGATATATCTACTTCACAGGGGCATCAAGGGGACTACATGAGGACATGGGGCATGGAAGGAACCCAGTGAAGAACAATCTTGCTATACACATGTGTTGTCTTCAGCAAGTTCATGGAAAATGTGTATTATAAAAAAGGTTATGCATTGGGACCAGTGCATGGTGTAATGGTTACATTGCTGGGCTGTCATGTAATTGACCATGGTTCAAGTCTCATACCCGGCAGCTTAAAACTCATGCCAGATGTATGTGCATGCATGCCCAAAATCCCAAGGGGAGAATGGAAGAGAAGGGATTGCAGCATGGCAATCCCACCCCCCGGGGGAGTGGGTGATTTCTCACTTTCTGTCTGTCTCTCTCTTTCTCCCTGACTCTCACATGCACCCTATAGCAAAAATCTCTCTTTTAAAAAAAGTTATGCATGTATTTAAAAGTTTTTGCATCAAAATAAACTCATACTTTTATTCCAGTTTCCATGAACTTTTTGATGTCTCCTGGTATTAGCCAAAAGGAAGAGGCAAGAACCTTGGGCAACCCTCGGGCACAGGAGATACTTCCCCCTCCCCCATCAGAACTGTCCCTGTTCTTGGTGGGTCAGGGTCAGCATCTTTTACACCTGCCACTTCTGGAATAAAGTGCTCACTTCTTGACAGGATGGTCCAGGCCCCCTCAGAGGGGCTTTCCAGGCAAGACCCCAGGATCCTGTGTTCATTGGTGTAACTCCTCCTGCCTCCTCTTAGACCACAGAGGTTGCCCTGGTTCCACTTTGGTGGCCTGACCCATGGGGCAGGGCTGGGGATTCTCTAAACCTGACTGCATCATCTTGAGCAAAATCAATGTACCTGTTAGCATCAGTTCTCTTTTAATCTGTGAAATGGGGAAAAATAGCAACAGCTATTTGGGGTTTGTGGAAAGCTTCAACAAAGCATAGAAGAAAAGTGTCTTGTAATTATCTAAGAATACCCCTCCCTATGCCTCTCCCTGGGGCTGCCTACTCATGCCCCTCCCTAGTTCCTTGGTTCTCATACTTCAGGCTCATGGACCTTCCTTCTTTGAGTTCCTTGGCTCACCAAGCTCCCTTCTCACCTCAGGATCTTTGCACTGCAACACTCTCTGCTTGGAATCTTTTATTTTTTCTTTTTTTGGAGAGATTTTTTGTGTGTGCTTTTTGTTTTGTTTTGTTTTGTTTTTTTGCTATAGGGCATGTGCGCTCACCAGAGAGACAGAAAGCAAGAAATCGCCCCCCAGGGTGGATGGCCACTCCGCAATCCCTTCTCCTCCATTCTCCTCTCAGGATCTTGGACATGCACGCACACGCAACCGGCATGAGTTTAAGCCGCTGGGTTTGGGACTGGAGCCATGGTCAACTACATGGGAGTCCAGCGACATAGCCATTACGCTAACTGCTGGTCCCATCTGCTTGGAATCTTCTACTCACCCAGCTGAAGGCTGGCTTTCTCCCAAGGCCTTCCCAGGTCTGAAAACAAAGGAGGCCCCTCTGGTTCTCCTGAGTCAGGAACTGCCCCACCTTCAAAGCAGTAACCAGGATTGTGACCAAATCATGCTCCAAGTTGCTCTCCTCCCTAAACAGGAAGGTCCACAGGGCAGGGGTCTTGTCTGTCCTTTATGTCCAGATGCCCAGTGCCTATGGCAGTGCCTTGTCCTTGAAGAACTTTGAATAAATGTTTGTTGTGGGGAGGGAAAGAAGCTGGGGTAAATAAGGGAGGGAAGAGAAGGAGCTGATGGGTTGAGGTGTAGTTTCCTCCCTGTGTTCTAGGGAGGAACTGGGGCAGAAGGCAGCTCCACAACAGATAGCCTCCAGGAGAGCCAGTAATTGCTGAGGCTGTACCCAGCCCTCCCCTTCAGCCCACCTATTTGTCTCCAGGGAGCCCTTGAGCAGGCAAGGTAAGCCCTGGGGGAGAGGAGAGAGACTATAGTCTCCCTGGTAGGCCAGGGAAAGGGGGGAACCCGAGCAAGAGCTGGGCTTCTATAGTGGAGCTGCTCAGTTTCCTGCCTTCTGCCTCTGGTTTCTGGACTCCAAGGAGAAAGTGAGAAAACAGAGCTGAGATAGAGACATCAGAAACAGAGATGCTGGGAGCGACATGGAAGTTAGAACTAGAGACCATATACAAGGCTGCTTCAAAAGTTCATGAAAAAAATGAAACTATAGTACAAGTTTATATTGGGGCAAAAAATCATGAAAATCTATGCAGATTTTTCATAATACACTTTCCATAGACCGTTTGAATACCACATACATTCCCCTCATACACACACAAGCACGTACACACATATATTTATACAGAGACAGTGAGACTGGGAGGAGACCAGAAGGAGCCTGTGTTTTGCAATCCAGGGGTGAGAAGAGCACAATATCTGGGCCTGGGGCCCTGTGCCTGGGCAGGGGATGGCAGATTTCAAAGGTCAGACAATGCTAGCAGGTTGAGAAGAGGTTTCAGTATCAATTCTGTCTGTGGGGATTGTTGAACAGCCCTTCCTTAGAGGAGAGTATCCAATGTTCCTCGGCCAGTGGGCGTGAGAGGAATAGCTGGCGTTGGCTTATTAACTCATTAAACCTTCCGAACAATAACGACAGCAAATAAAAATAACAATAGTAACATTACCGAGTGCTTACTCTTTGCTGGGCACTGCTGTAAGCATTTTACATGTATGGTCAATGAGCTTTTGGTCAATAACAGACAGTGTATGTGATGATGGTCCTATAGTGTTATAGTAGGCTATACCATACAGCCCAGGTGTGCAGTAGCTATGACTAAGTTTATGTAAGTACACTCTGTGACGTCTGCTTGATGAGGAAATTGCTTAAGTGTGCATTTCTCAGAGCAAATCCTTGTCATTAAGTGAAGTATGTCTCTATTGTTTTAGTCTCATACCAATCCTAGAGGTCCTATCCTCTTGTAGGTGAGGATACAGAGCTCAGAAATGTTACACGACTTGCTCAAGGCCTTCCAGCTCCTAAGGGCAAGATCCAAGGTTTGCTCCAGGTCTGCCAGTCCATGTAGTCCATACTCATGCCACTATGTGAGGCTGCTTTGAAGCCTAACTGGACAGAGGGTGATCTGTACCAGGCTTAAAAAAGTGGTGGGACCAAACATTTCTGCCACAAGAATACTTTTATCCCCAGGAAGGAATTTCTTTCTTTATCTCTCTTTTTCTTCCTTTCTTCCTTTCTTCCTTTCTTCCTTTCTTTCTGTCTTCTTTCTTTCTTTCTTTCTTTCTTTCTTTCTTTCTTTCTTTCTTTCTTTCTTTCTTTCTTTCTTTCTTTCTTTCTCTTTCTTTTCTGTCTTTCTGTCTTTTAATTTTATGTATTTATCATTTAAATTTAATCACTTTGCATCTTTACAGTATACAACATGGTTTTTCCCAGCACAAATACAGTGCGTATCAGTCAAGACAAAGACATTACCATACACATTATCATCATCAAATAACTTTCCATTTTTGAATCAATTAAAAGTATTGTTTGCTTTTTCTCTGTTCCTGTCCCTCCCTCTCTGTATTACTCATTCCCTATTACCCACCCCCTTACCATCTCCAGTATCTACAGTTGTCCTCCTTGCAATTACATCTTCCACTCTTACAGCTTCTGCCATAGAGTGCCAACCATCAGTTTACAGTGAGTGGGGACTTACAAAGTCTGTCTTCCATAGTCTGGCTTGGTTTGCTTAGCACTAAGTTTTCCACATTTGTCCACTCTGTATCAGATGTCAGGGTCTCATTGTTTTTTTATGGCTGAGTTGTATTCCAGAGAGTACATACGCCACATTTTTCCAAACCACTCATCTATTTTGAGACATTTGGATTGATTCCATGCAGGAAGAATTTTCAACCACTTGGCTGATAGAATGGGACAAGACATGAGTGCAATGTGTGAGCATGTGCGTTTATGTGTACATGCATGCAACACAACACACCTGTAGATTGAGGAAGGAAGAAAGGGCACATAAACCACAGGCCTTGTCCTCAGAGAGCCCCTGCCCTTGTCAGACACTTTTGCACAGCATCTCACTTGAGTTCTAAAACAACCCCATGAGGTGAGTCAAATGATCATTATTTTCTACACAGGAGAGCAGCTGAGGTTCTAGAAAAGTTAAGTAACTAACCCAAAGTCACACAGCTAGTAAGTGGCAGAGCCAGGATTAGAACTCTTGTCAGCCTCACCGCTCAGCCAATTCCTGTATGACATTTGCTTCCCCTGGCATTATTACTCTCCAGGAGAGACAAACCTTGCCCTTATGGAAATGACCAGAACACCTTCATGATGAACACTGAGTGGTAAGTAAAAGGCTCCTGGGAGGTAAGAAAGTCAGCTTGAGCTTGCAGCTGAGATGCCACCAGCACTGGCCTGGGAAGATGGTGAAATCTGGCTGGATTGAACAGAGAGGGGAAGCTGTTTCAGACAAGGAAGAGGGTTAAGACCAGGGCCCAGGAGTCCAAGTACAGTCAGGGGACTGAGAGGCCATCTGACCAAGGACCTTGAGAGGAAGCTATGAGAAACCTGGGAAGGTAAACTGGGGTCAGATGCCAAGCCCAGAAGAACTCAAGCCAAGCAGGCTTGCAGGGGCAGGAGAAGAGAGGGCAGGTAGGTTAGAGTGGAAATGCACTTACCTGGGACACCTGGTTCACCTTTGAACCCCAACAAATCTGCAAGGGAAGGAGAGTGAGTTGAGGCTGGGCTGAGTGAATTGCAGACTGGGCAGTGTGAGCACCCTCAGCTTTGCCCCCACTGCAGAACTCCCAGGCTCTACACTGGAAAGCTGCGCCCACCAATGTGAGGAGCAGTTGAGAAAGGTCGACTGAACAGCCATACACCTCAGTGTTCTTCAGCCAGGAATCCTTGCAAGGAATCAGATATTTTTGTTTTGTTAGTGGTCCTGCACCCAGCGGCTGTAGAGCTTTGGAAACCACAGGTGTGTGGAGTGGGGTGAGACCACCCACCTGTACCTGGCACTGCCCCAAACCAACTTGAGGAGGTTCCTAGGGTGAATGAACGACTGCCTTCCATTGGTCAAAATGAGCTACTTCACATGTCAAGGGAGGGAAAGACTCCCAAGGCGTCCAAGGGGCTGAGCCTGGCCTCTGTCCATCTGCCCACAGTTGAAGCCTCTCCTGACGCTTTCATTTAGCCTTCAGGTTTACTCACTGGGGATATGTGATCTCAAGAGAGATTTGCCTCCCTGGAACCTATGAGGGGTCCCAGAATCCAAACATGGACTTCTTATTCTTGGACAGCCTGGGAGACTGAAATGTGTAGCTCTAAGTACTGAGAGAGCCAAGGGACAAGGAACAGGGGATGCTTGGTGTTGCCACCTATGGCTCCATTTTCTCCAGCCTGTAGTCCCCCAATACATGACCTCATTCTCCTCTCCAAGGCCCCTACAGTCTGAACTGTTTTGTGCCCTCCATTGCTCTCTTGTCAACTACAGGCCAGGGTAAATTGTCACATGGGAGGGGGCTTGGAGACTGCCCTGGACTGTGCATTTTACCCAAACTCCTAAACTTTCTGGATCTGTCTGGGGACTTTAAGACTCAGACCTGGCCTTGATCTAGTTGCTCCAGTCCCTGGTTCTTGGAGGCCATGTTTACTGGGACTGGACCCTTGGTTCTTTGTTCCTGACCCCACCATCTTCCAGAGCCTAGTCTGTCTTCTAAGGGGCCTGAAACTTCATACCCTACATAGCATCCACATCCTTCCAAGTCTCCCAGAGGCCCAGACTGGGCCAGGGTTCTGGAAGCCCCTTTGCTAGTGAAGGAGATTCAATCTTAAACAATCCCCCCCCCCTTTTTTTTATCTTCTTCTGAGAAATCCCAATCCAGAAGGGAAAAGGCCAAACCTGGGTGCTGAGTGAAGTTGTCTACCCGCCACAGCAGGTGTTCTTGGCTGAGGCGGACCTGGGTGAGCTGGGCCTGCAGAACTTGCAGCCCTGGCACGCCCAAAGCCCGGTGTGCTTTGGGGCTCACCAACTGCAGCAAAGAGAAGGATGCGCTGTCGTCAGCGGTCAGCGTTCCATTGTAGAAGTACATCTCCATGGCTTGGAGCCGCTCCTGCAGATTTAGAACTGAACCCCCGCCCCATGACATTCTTTTAGGGACCTCATTAAATTCCAAGGCATTTGAGCATGTCCCTGACATTCTTGTGTTGTGTTTGTAGCATTTCTGAGGTCCCAACTCACAACACAAATTCCATATGCTATCAGACTTTAGTGTGAACACAGGCTTTCTCTGCATCCTCCATACACACGCACAGCATTACATGCCCGTAGACTGGCTCGCACACTTAATGCTGCAGTCCCAATCTCCAACTTTCATGTGGGTACGGCCTTCCTGTATGTTCTGGGTGTGAATTCATAACAGCTAACATTCTGATCTGACTTACATCTGAGCAAGCAGCATTCATGTGTGACCTTACGTACATGTACACAGCATGTGTTTATAACAACTATGTATGCAACATTCTCGGTGAACTTCGGTGGTACTGGAAGAATTCCTTTGTGACTTTAACATTTGGACTGGGACTATTACATATGTAAAATCGTGTTCAGGTGAGAGCTTTAATCAACAAAGTCCCTTCCCTCTCAGATGTCAGGTGCACGTGGTATATCCTATGTGATGTCATCACATCTTTTACCACTTTGGACACACACAAGCTGAAAGCATGTTCTCAATCTCCCTCTCTCCTCTCAGGTTCATGCACACACATGATACATTCCCTCTCTTTGCTTCCTCCATCACTGGCTGCTCAGGGACTGAGGACTCTCTCTTGGCAGGTTGGCAGCAGTGACCCCAAGGCTCTCCATTAACCCTGAGCCCTGCCTCAAAGGTCACCCCAGGAGGGACCACACAGGACCAAGACTGCATTACCTTGCACCACCAGCAACCCAGCGCCCGCAGTGAGCAGAACCAGGTAGATGGCCACCATAACCACAAAGCAATTCATCCCGTTTCTCTTCTTGGGCTTTGGATCTGAAACACAAACCAAACAGCAGGTGGTTGCTGCAGAGAGGGGTCCAGCCTGAGCCAGGATCCTCTCTGTGTGAGCAGAGGGCTCCTTGTGAAACTGAATGGAACAATGCCAAAGGCCCACAACCCCTAAATCTTCTCCCAATCTTTCTTCTTGACACAAGACAAGAAGTACCTCTGCGCTTTTGTGTGCTCAGGCAAACAGACATCCACGTCAAGCCATTACCTGGAATGAGTATTATGTCAACCTTGGTCATTGCTGTTGTCCCAGCATGGTTCTTGACTCGTATGGAATCTCAAACTATGTTTATGAAATTAATTAATAAATTAATGTGTTGAAGTTTCAAAACTCTCAGAAGAAGATGATTGTTTCTGTTTTACAAACAAAAGGCTCAGCTTGGAAAAGTTGAATAACTTACTTGGTTCTAAATGCAGATCTGGAAATTAGGTCCAAGTCTTTGTTTCTTTAGCTTTTTTAAAAAAATTATACAAGTAAAATATGCTTAATTTAGTTTATCAAGCAATATAGATGACATGACAGGGATTAATCATCTTCCCTTAACCTCCTAAGGTTCAAACCCACTGAGGTTTAAATCTCTGTTTCTGGAATCCTACAACCCGTAAATTCCAAGACAGACTTGCTTTGCTTTTCATCTTACACAAATTAAATCATAGCACATATAATACTGCACATGGTTTTTTGCAATGAGTAATTTTCATGGACATTCCTCTAGCTTGCTATGTAGAGGGAGGGTGAACTCTTCTTTTTAATAGCTGCCTAATATTCCATAGAGGTGAAAGCTGTAATTCATGCAAATCTATCCTTTTTGCTAAACTGTTTCCAGTTTGGGACATTACAAAAGAGACTGTAATCAATCTTTCCTGGGGGTTATCGATTCTAGCTCGACACCAGCTATCACCATATGTAGGGTATCACACGGAGGGGTACAGCCCACAGAAGACCTTGCACCAGGCACTTACCATCATCATCTTTAACTCTTGCAGTGACTCTGCAAGGCAGGTGTGATCATTTCATTGCCTTCTACAAAGGCAAGAGCTGGGGTTCCGAGAACCAAAGGTGCTCAGCATGCATATGAATCCAGGCCTGTGCGACTCCCAGGTCTAGGCCTGCCTAACTAGCCTTTGCTGACTTATTGTCCCTGGAAAAATGGACCCCAGCTGAAATGGACCTTGAGGGCAGATCTGAAGGGAAAAGAGATTGTAAGTGAACCGC